GTTCAAGCAAACCACTTCTGAAGATGCAAGCCACTCGTGCTTGCGAAACGTCAGGAAGAAATTCTACCGAACGACGGCCTAAAAGCCCATTAGTTTTAAGGAATGGAAAACCCGTCGATTTCAAAGAGCGAAAACCGGTCGAAAAGCAAACCTTTGCAAAAAACGCCTCTAAGAAAATTTGTTGCCAATGCAATTTCCTATAAGATGAGCAGATAATCTTCGAAACTTTTCTTTACCTTTGCGAATTCCTCGCTCATATGCGTCCCACTGCTATAATCCAAGTCCTCCAGCTCATACTGAATATCCAGATAAGCCAAGCATTGTCGCACAGCTAAAGACGGCGGACTGGCCAATGTTGAGTAGAACTTCAGAGGCATTTTGTCAGCTTCTAAAATTTACTAAAATCTAGCCAATGTTATTTTTGGCTTCTTGATCAGATGCTCACATGCAGATCGGCAGCACTCAACTGATCTCCCAGACCGGTTTTACACTCGATGGAAGCCACTAATGGGTTTAAATTGATATCATTTAATTTATTGTTATTTGAAGCATGATCGTATAATGCAAGGCCAACAGTTTCTGGTTGCCAACTTATTAATTCATCATAACTATGCTTGGTTGTGAATCGCTTCGGTTATCAGCACGTTTAATGGGACTTAAAGGCAAAGGACTAGAAAAGGAATGGAGCGTTTTAATAAAAAAGACATCATTAACAACTCGGATGAAAGTTGAAAAGCTCGCTTTAAATCACGATTTTGTAGAAATTGCTTGTGGCATTCCCAGAGTGTCTGTGCTGTTGCTTCTGAACACAGAAGAAGCTTCTCCGGCATTTTCAGAGTCCCTAGAAGCGTTTCTGAGCACTTTCACTTGATCCCCGAACTTTGAGAGCTTTGGAGCATTACCCGAGTGAGTTTGTGGTTGCTTCTGATCTTAGAAGCTTCTCCAGAATTTCTAGAGTGGCAGAATGTCATTCTGAACACTTTAATTTGTTGCCAAATTTTCTGGCTAGTGATTATTGGCTATAGGATTTCCAGTGGGTCCTTATACTCAGAAGACGCTTCTCCAGAGGTTTTTATAGTCGCTAGATGCGTTTCTGAGCAGTTTTGCTTGGCCGTCAAACTATTAGAGCTTTTGGTCTGCATTAGCTGTCGAAATGGATTTTCCGCTTCACTCGATTATAATGCATCGGTTTCCAATTCACAGCTCTTATTTTCCAACCAGTTTCTTGTATGCAAATTTATTGCTTTCGCATTTTTGTTGAGTTAAGTGAAACTGATTTGGCAGTCGGGAACGTTTCTGGCATCGGTTGTTTCTCTCGCTCCCATAGAAATCGAGGCGAGATGCAAGATGACTGCGCGGCGCTGCGTTCCAAACTGGCACCTTCAAGGCTAAAACTAACTGAGTTGTAAACCAATAATTTTTGCGAGAAATGGCAAAATAAAGATCGGGTTTTCAAAAATGGCAAACTTTATTTTAAGCATCTACAATTTGAAGTCGAATCAACTTTTCCGTATTGGATGGATTGGATGCTCCATTTTGCTTAAATCCGGCGGATTATTCACCAAGTATCCAAGTATTTGGACGCTGGGCTCTACGATTTTCCAAAGCGCAGGGTTCTCTTGCTTGTAGGTGGAGTACCACTTTTGGATCAGCGGGTAGTCGGATAAGTCAAACTTGATGGCTTCCAGGCACATTGTTGAAGTTACCAGCTGGAAGTCCGCTATGGTTACATTATCTGCAAGTGCGAAAAACGGAAAACACTCTCAGTAGACAGTTGCAGCTATACAACACCTACTTGTAGCTGCGTACTTTGTGCCAGTTCTTTCCAAATAAGTGTTAAAGTTGCTCAACGCAATCCGGGTCAATTTCAAGCTCAGAGGGGTTTTCTGGTAGTCAAAAAGCAGAGGATTGACCGCATAGTCGCAAATGTGTTTGTAGTAGGTGGAGAGATCAAAACAGAGTCGGTGATTGACTAGCGCTCTTTCCTTAACGTCCTTCGGATATAAGGTTTGGTCCTTCGGGTATTTATCTGCTAGATACTGAAGAATGGCGTTGCTGAAAAGTCAGTTTCTACACTAGTCCAGATTGACTAATTTCCACTACCTTTCACTCAACTGGAATCCATTATCATCGATCACTGGCAGCTCTTTTTGGGGGTTTATCTGAAAACTATCACTTGAAAAAAAACTCACTGTGACTAAATAAACAAGCAAATCGCATGGTTTATGGAAAATATCAATCACCTGAAAAGCAGTGCGGTTTAAGGCACTTAAACTTCAACGAAACCCAGATTTATTTATTTATAATTTAGATCGGGATTTGTTTCATTAAACCAATAAATATGTTTTACCTTTGCAAACTCCTCGCTCATATGACGCCCACTAGTATAGAGCAGGTCTTCCAGTTCAAAAGGAACATCCAGATATGTTAGGCATTGCTGAACCGCTAAGGAGGGCGGACTGGCCACCGTTGAGTAGAACTTGAGGGACATTTTCCGTAGATTTCCTCACTTTTGCTGATATTTAAACACCAATTTCCACCGACTGATATAAACTTCACACTCATTTGGTCTGTTGATTCACTACTTATACGAAGATTAGGAGCACTCAACTAGAGTTTCCAACCAATAGGAGACCTGATTTTATCTAATCTATAGCACGATTGCTAGTCAAACCACTAATATTTTTGAAGACTTGTTGATTGCAAACGTATTTGTTCAGGAATAGTGCGCTTGAGCTTTGAAAGGGTTAGACCTCGTTTCATAGTAAGGGCAATTAAAAACATTAAGCAACTGAAGTTTTAAGTGCCCCCTTTTATTACCTAAGTGACTTCCTAAACTAAATCGTTAATAATCGGGGCTTAATTAATGAACAGTTGCGTAATGAAGAGGAAATCGCCGCAAAAGTGACACCGTCCAAAGCTGATAACTAATTGCCGCAAATTGTCGATTTTTTGCAACTTTAAGTAATTTTCCATTTCGCATGCCGCCCAAGCTAATAGCGCCATTCTTCAGCTATCATCGGGACGCATAATGCCTTTGTATCGCCGAAGAAATAGGCTGGAAACATCGGGTTTGCATAAAAGTTGCTGCTGTAAAACTCTCACTTGTCAACGTATGCAGGAAATGAGCTTCAAAAGCAGAACATTAACATTCGGTTTCTTTGGTAAACATGCAAATGATGTGGGAACATGTAGGATGTCTTCAGAGCCTCATTATTTGGATCGTGTAAACTATGAAATGTTGATGAGTTTCTTACAAACATCGCACGTTCATATCAAGTGATTTAGTAGGCTCGTGATGAGGAACCACATTTCAACGGCTCCCTACGAAAAAGTCGGTTAATTGGGAACCCACACAAGTTATTTTGGTCGGGTTTCCGCAATTGAATCGGTTTCATTTTGAACAGGAATTTTAACTGCTTTCAAAACACAAAAATCAATGATTAATCAGGCAAATAAAAAGAAACTATGATGTTTCAGTATTTCATCAGTACAATGCTGATAAAACGTGCAGGAAAACAATGATAAGGCGCATTCACATGTTTCTCTGCTCGATGCAATCATTACACAGGGCAGAGAAAGATGCGTTGAATAATTGAAGATTTGCGTTGATGTGGGACAAGCAATTGAATAACAAAAGATTAATATTTGGGGGCGTTTCCAGTTTTGAAACCGTCGTGGAAAATAATCGCATCTGAAGAAGCAAAGCACTCGTGCATGCGAAGCGTCAGAAAAATATTCTATTTTTATATGCAATTTAATCTACAGTCCCAGACTGGACAATTACCCCGAAAAACTCAATAGGTTCCGCTTTTGAAAAACATTTTTAATGCTCATTCATTTTTCCAAAACTGGTCTGTTTGGGCCACCGAACTGGACTAAAAACTTTAAGGTTTTTGGGCGCCGTCGTTTCCCAAAAAAATCCCAATTTCTAACATAAAACGAGTTACCGCTTGAAATTTTTGCAGTCGCTATAAGACCCCTAAGTCGAAAATCAATGAAACTTTCATTTAAATCTGATCAGATTCTGGTTGTTTTGTGCTTCTTGTAAATGCTGTAATGTAAAAAATTGCAACTTTCAATCTGGAACTAGTGGAAACCAGCAATTTTGACATTTTATGGAAAACACTCGAACCTCAATTTCATAGCTGAAGCCAGCGAGAACTTAAAATCTCTGAATTCGATTGAAAACACTCGTGTTTGGATGCTCTCAGCTTTCCATTCGGGAACGTTTCTGGCATCGGTTGTTTCTCTCGCTCCCATAGAAATCAAGGCGAGATGCAAGATGACTGCGCGTTGCTACGTTCCAACCTGCTACCTTTATGGCTAAAAATAACTAAGCACCAACCCAAAAATGCATTAAAATCACAGTAAATCCTGATTTTTGCCAGCAACATCAAATAAAAAAATTATATTTTCAAATCGAGAGCCGGTCGGAACTTGAATGTCCAGAGCATATAGGAGACACTTGAGCCTAAAAACCCTCAAAGGTTTAGAAAAATTGAAACTTTCGCCGTTCATTAAACGGTCTTTCCTCGATACAATTCAAATCTATACCCGTTTTGGTTCCTCAGAAATTGACTCTTAAAGCCAACTAAACTAAGAAAATTGCAACTACTTTCCTGATGATGGTATAAAAACGAAACTCTCAGCGTGCATGAAACGGGGTTGCGTCTTTAAACTGATATAAAATCCCAACCTGTATCGGCTTCAGGTGATGCTGACTCTTATTGGAGAGCGTATTCTGGTATCTCAATCTTCAGATTGGTGCTACGTTGAGAAAACTACCTCTGAAGATGACAGCCCCTCATGCTTGCAAAACGTTAGGAACAGCTTTCTCTTCTTGACTAAAAATTTGACGATTTTCAGGTGCAGTTTAGTGACATGCTCTTGGTTCCCAAAAACTGTTTGCACGCTAATAACGTTAGTGCCAATGAACATCTGCACTAAAACTGTATATTTTAACAAAGAGAATCAAATGTTTAACACATGCAAATATTTAACTTATATTGTGGAAGTGCTGTCGAATGGTTTATTTTCAATATCACCCCTTGTAATAGGCAGATGATATTTTTTAATTTATGACGACCGTATGCGGTAATTTCTAAAATTTTATGTGACTTCATAATTGCGAAAAAATCAATTCAGCCGCCAAATCAGGCGTTTCAACGCCTAATTGCCCATATCGGTTCAATGTGGCGAATATTTATCATGAACCATATAGAAATGGCGATCAGAAAAAATGGTTACATCCGAACATGCTACACAAACACAGTTTTCACTCATTTCTAATACTTTCCGAGAGGAATTTCCATCGATCTGGTCAGCATCATGCATCAACCAAATATTTACGGACATGTGCAACAAATACTATATTTATCGAGAAGTCGAGAAGAACTTCGAGAAATTGTTTCTAAAATAAACCGTCGGAGTCTAAAAATTTTTATTGAAAAAATACGTTTTGTTTCGATCAGCGCTTCAGATTCACTGTACAACTCTGCGCAAAAAAACGCAGAAATAGTCTCATTTGATTGTTGATTTTCGAGTTATTTCGTAAGTACGAATAACAACGTTTCGCTAGCGTGCATGGCTACCACCCTCAGAATTTCGTTCGTTTTGTACGGCAGCGCTGACGATCTAGCGAAACTTCAGAATGAAACTCTTTTTGACGACACAATAACTCGAAAATCAACAATTAGTTCACAATTTTGCTGACTCAAGTTAACTAGTTTCGATAAGTGATTTTTGATCTGACGTTTGAATTGTCTAAGACTAAACACTGAAAAATCTCAACAAACAAAACAAAACAAAAATTCCAAATTTGCTCGCTCAAAACTCGATAATTTTTAGCCGTCAAGGTATCAAGTTGGAACGTAGCACCGCTCAGGCCATTTTGACTCAGTCATCTACTGTATGGGTGCGAGTGAGACTACCGATTCCAACTGCGGCCCCAAATGGAATTGTTTGATTCATTCAAGCAGCGGAAATATTTTGTGCAAACTAGATTGAGAGGAAATAATGACACACATAAATATGGCAAATTTGAATGCAATTTTATTACAAAAATCGGTACAAAATAAATACTTAATCTATATTAAATAGTCAATAAATAGCAGAGTCAAGTCTAAAAAATAAGTCTCTATGTTTTGGACCTAAACCTAGTAAATACATTCGAGGAACCAATTCGATTTTTGATGATCGTTAGCATTTTTGATAAATGCGGGCGTTTGCGTGTAGTGCAATGAAAAATGCGAACAAGAGAGCGTTCCGTAAAAAAGTGTCTTCGTAAACTTGCAGCTGCCGCGTTCGGACACTTTTTTCAAAATAGCCATTTTAGTGACTTTAGAACGGCAATAATGCGTTAGTGTTGTCGTTGCAATAACTGCAAACACACGTGCTGGGCACCATAAATTTGCCATAGTCCACTTTGCCATCGGAACTGAGCGAAACCAGTCGGACTATGTTGTATTTTTGTCTGCAAAGTGTTCGGAATCCAAACGGCAGCATCTTTGGATCTATACATTCTTGGTTTGGCTCTCTGCAAAAAAACGAAAATAAACGTTAAACATTTTTCGGTCTGATGATTGCAGGAAACTTTAGACAATACGCAAGTTTACTTACGCGCAAGTTTCATAGACCACAGACTGCACGTAATCCTTAATATTGATGATAAACCTCTGCTCTCCAGAATTGTGATCGTATCCAGCTTTGGGCAGGACTGTGATCGTTTTGGTTTTGCACAGATTATTCGGCTCCATGCCGGGTCCCCTCAGTTTCGGTATGGGAACATCATCAGCAGGCTCGATTAGGGACACCTTGCTGAACAGTGGCAGATTCTTCTTCCTCTTCACCAGCCTCTGGATCACTTTGAATGGATAAGTGCGGGTTTCGTTGCAAATTTCCAGAGCGTTGCATGTGCTGACGATTTTCGGACTAAACTTGTCTTTGTTCCTTTGCTTTTTTGCGTGGTGTTTGACTGGCCCCTGGAATGGAATTGATCAACTTTAGCTGGAATTTACGGGCTTCTTCCAGGAATCCCAGCTACCTGGTCTGGATGATGTAAATAAACCAGGAGTAAAATTCCAAAGCTATTTTCATATAACATTCCGCTAATGTGTTTATTAGGGAGCTCGATTTAGATGTGCAGAAGCACGTGAGTGTCTGCGGCGGTGTTTTGATTTTTTTTGCAAAAAGAATCAAAAAATTCAATAACAGCGCGATTACAGTGAAATACAATCAATGCATTTTAAATGGGAAATAGTGCGCTTAGCGGGAAATGTTTTATATAATATTTATAAACCCGATGGAACTGGCTGTTGATGTTGATAAATTAGTTTTCATGGCGGAAATCTGGAAAATGTTATATATTTATGACGCGAAAACATCATAAACCGTCGCTAGTGTAAACCGATAAATTTCCCAATTGAAGCATTAATGTGATTTAAGAACTGCGATTTTTTAACGACAGTTTAACAGTGAAATCCCCATTTTTCAATGGATAATGCGTCTTTTAATCGACTGGATTAAGCGGTTTACTTAACGTGCCGCTTGTTCGAATGTTTTTCCTGTTCTGTTATTTATTCGCGAACGAAAGTAAATATTTAAACATCTCTAGTGGAGTAATTATTTTCCTTAGCGGAAGATTTAAATAAAGCGAAGGACAGCGCCGTGAATGAAATAGTTGCAGCGTTTCACTAAGGCAAATGTTTGGGTTTTTGCAATAAAATCAGGTCTTTTTGGTAGCAAATATCTGAAGAATCAAAAACGCTGCTGACCGGTTATTAATGCTGAAAGTTTTGTTGTTGTGCCATCATCAGACTTTTTTTTTGGCGATACTCAAAACTCAACACAAAACCAAAAGAGTGCTTATTTAAAAACCAGCGAAAGAAACCCTCTTTCAGGAGTAAATGGAGAATAACTAAAAGACCTAGAAAATCGGGTTTTGCTCCGTTTTGTAGCTCCAACCATCATCAAGTGATTAGTTCGAATTTTTTTTAGTTGGGGCCATTTTTGCAAAAGTTGGCCTAATAAGCTCTTATCTAGCAATCAAATTCCTAACAACTGAATCCTTTACACTTTTGGATTTTACATCATCTTAAAGACACATGCGTTTTATAAGCGGTAAAAGTTTCGTTTTTCTGCCATCATCAGGTGGGCGACTAGAAAATTTCAAATTAATTGAATTTTAAGGCTGTTTTGAAATATTGTCTCACAAAGATCCAAAAAGTTACAGATTTGAGAATTGCAGCATTTTGTAGCCGCAAGTCTGTTTTACAGGCTCTGAAAGTTTCGTTGTTGATCCATAATCAGATATTTAATAAAAATCAAATTGGGTTTTACGCGCTTTGAAATCGCCAGTTTTGAAAATGCATTTGCCGAAAAAGCTTGGAAAATGCAGCATTTTGTAGAGGCAAGTTTAGTTTGTCAATCCATCCACCATCAGAATTTTTTGGTACAATTTCTTTTACATATATTATTAGGTCGGATTATACATTGAGGCTGTGATTGGACCGATTCTCGAAATGGAATTTTTGAAGTCTGGCCTTAAAAATACAAAACAGCAGCAAATAAGCGACGCTTACAGAAAACTTTTTTGTCGCTTATAATACGAAAAATCATTTAGCTTTGGAAACCTGATTTGCACAAAATAAAGCTTTGCTTAGACAACTTTCTCCTCATCTTCATGGGCCTTCAAACTAAGCAAATCAAGTCATGGCGAAGAAAACGAGGAGAGTCCGTTGGCTTAGCGCATTTAAACTTGAATCGTTGGTTTATTAACCACCGCAATTGGAAACAGGAAAGAGCTTCTGAAGAGTTTGCAAGAAAACTGTTGTAAATCACAGGATAAGATAAGATACAGTCTCAAAACAGAAAACTGTTGCTCTAATTTAAGCCACTTGCTGAAGCTTCAGACGTGCGAGTCTATCGGAATGGACACTATTTGCGGTTGGAAAAACTTGTCTTCAGGGACTTACCGCTAAAGAAAAACACACTAAAACACTAACAAAGTAAATGCTGCTGGTATTCATTCTGTTAACAACAAATTGGCAGGAATATCACAATAACGTTACTGGATGACTAGAAAGATATGATTCACAGCCCTGTTCGCCCGACCGTTAACTCTGAGATTCTAACCGAAAGTTTGGCTGGTCGGTCATGTAAATACTCCGGATTTGTTTAAAAATTTCTGTTTATTTTATCACTAATTATACAACGGTACGTATGCAGCTACGTCATTGCCATAGAGGAGAGGCCCTGTTGACTTACTTGCAATTGGTCAGCGGTCGCTCATAAGACCACATTTCTGGATGTACCGAAAAAACCGCGTTTCCGGCCTGGGGATTTACTATCAATGAGTAATACGCATCTCCTGTAAAAAAGATTCGGCGAATTAGCACCTTTGTCATTGACGAAATCCCCAATGGTTGATAGAAGATCCAATTCTTGAAACTAACACAAATGGGAAAAGTGAACAAGGATTTTTTGGGCTTTTAGGCCGTTGCAGGCTCACATCTTCAGCGGTGGTCAAAGCTAAACGTGAAGAATTATTTTCTAGTACAAAAGCGTCAATTCTTCTGTAAGAAGCGCCTTTCTCTACATTTTTGCAAAAAGTGAGACTACTATGATGAACCTAAATATTCGATTGTTGAACGAAACTGTATTAAAAAATTCCTGATTATGGCACGAAACCGAAACTTTGCACATCCATAAACGAACGATTGCTCTACAAAATGCCCCAATTGCCAAACTTGAATAGCTTTCAGTTTTTGAGAAAATTGACTCTCAAGAGCGGCGCTTTCAAAATGCTAAAAACTCAATTTGATTTATCAAAAAACTTCCTGAAGATGGCGCAAAAACGAAACTTTCAGCTCTAATGAAGCAGGTTTGGGTCTTACGAATGATGAAAAATTTCAATCTGCATTTGTATCCGGTATTCTTAAATTGATTTTTAAAATAGGGCTTAAGAGGCCATCTTTCCCAAAAATTAACCAAACTAAAAAAAATCCAGCTATTTAACTGATGGTGGTACAAAAACGAAACT